AAAAAAAAAAAGTTCAATTTTTTCCAGACATATATTAGACATCTATAAACCTTTAATGGGTATTAAATCTCTAAATGCTGATAGAAAAGAGACAAAATTCTATCTATGAGCTGGAAGTCTGCTACCCTTGTGGACATTCACCCAGAAAAGCTACACAGAGACAATTATAACAATCTATGAGGCTAAGAAATCAAATTTACTTTTTTTTCTTTGATACCAGGAATTAAACCCAGGGGCACTTAAGCCTTGAGCTATATTCATGTTTTTTTGTTGTTGTTGTTTCTGTTTTTTGTTTTTTTTTTTTAAAGACAGGGTCACACTAAATTGCTTAGGGCCTCACTAAGTTGCTGAGGCTGGCCTTGAACTTGTGAGTGTTCAAGCCACTAAGATGTGTGCCCGCATGCCTGACTCAAATTTGATTTTAATGGGATGATTAGGGGCTATAGATCCAAACAAATAAGTGAGGAAAACTCTAAGATGTCTCTTTTAATTTAACAAATAAAAATATTTTTGAAAACTGTGCTGTTTTATAATAACATTTGGCATAAAGTAATTACATGTGGATTTATGGTCACAAAAGTTTAGTAGTAAGTGATGCTATTTCAAGTCAGGGGCTGCACTCCCACTCTGAACCACCTTGGATGCTCTTCCTGACCCCAACCTCTTTGCAAGGCAGCAGGAGAAAGTTCTGGGGGATGCCAGGAAACTGCAGCTGCTCTGATCTAGTCTAAAATAGGAGGTGAGAGAGGTCAGGGGTCAGAAATTTAGCAAGCTGGCAGCAGAAAGGATGTATGCAATGGGAAAAGTATAGCAAAGAATCCATCCTTTTCCTTTTCCTCAGCCCCAGCTCCCCTCCCAACACTGATGCACTTCTCCACCTACTTAAAACCTGCTACACTGCTTCTGTACAGATTTGCAAGCATGGACAGAGCACCAAGAATCCATATGTTCTGGCAGTTTCCCACCAATAAAATGCAGTGCCACTTATTTTGCAATTACCGCAAGGACAACTAATCTTTCATTTTAAAAAGATCTTCAAGCATATAATTTACCCATTCCCATTGATGCATAGCTATGTTAAATTAAATGATACCCTCTTTTTAAGTTAAGCGATCATTTTCTCTGTGAGGAGCCCCTTTCACTACGCTGACACAAAATGTAGAAATCCCGCCTCCCAGTTCCAACAAAACACATCACTTAAATTCTGTGTTTGATCTAAGGTTTGGTGAAGATAAAGCATATGTGGGTTGGGGGGAAGGGTATGCCTACCTCCAGTGTTAAGTATACAGTCTTAGAAATAACTGAGAGTTGGTAAAAATTAAGGGGTCATCTAATGCAGAGTATGTTGGGACAACGGTGCAATCTTCTTAGTAACATCTAAATACACATAAAAAGCCCCAAGAATGAGAGTCAGATCTATTTTTGTCTTCAGCCCATATGAACCATTTTCTCCCTTACAAAAACAGGAGCAATGATATGTGGAAAGGGTCCTGGTAGAATGCAATGAGATAATAAATGTGAAATAACTTTGGGGGAAATTTGGTAGGGAAACAAAAGGTTTTATCCCTAGGTTGCAATACTGAATATGCCAAACTTTCTTTGATAATAAACAGTTACTTACATTTCAATGGACAGAATCCAAAGAGCTTATCAGTGTCGTAGTCTGTGGTGGTTCCACACCAGAGCCATCCATCTGACCTCCCGGCACTTGTGCAATCTGCGTACCACTTGTTTTCAAACTTGAATGGAAATGCGCAGGCGGCCCCATTTGCATTGCCCAGCAGCGTGTACAAATCTAGGGAAACATGGATGGGCACTTAAAATGTGAGTGATAGTCCTTGACTTTCCAGTAAGAAACACACGATGGAATTCGTCTTACTCTTCTCATAATACTTGATGTATCACAGGGAGGGAGGGAATCTTTTTTTTTTTTTTTTTTTTGGTGGGTGGAGGGGTCCAACTTCCCCTTATTCCCCAGTTTTTGGCTGGGTATCCACAGCAGTCTGCACTAAGTACCCCGTCTTTTCCACTGCCTTTTAAAACACATTTTCCTCCTTCCTCTTACAAGGTAATAGTGGTCAGTTCTTTTGATGCAAGCATTAACTTCTGCATTTCCTCAAAACAGAAGAGAGGCCATCCTTCCTCTTGGTTGGAATCACAACATTATTGAATCTTTAGATAGGAAATAACTTTAAAGCTGTGTAGCCCAAAACGCACAAGCAACACTTAGATCTCCTTCAATCACTTCCTATCCGACCAGCCCCCACTAAGTCTCTCCACAGTGATTATGAGGAAGGATAAGAATCTGGACCTAGTTCTCTAATCCACATCATGAAAGAAACTCAAACGTATTCAGAATCTATAATCGAACCTGATACTTGTCTCTTTAAAGTCTGATTTCAAACAGATTAGGTGGGAAGCTCAGGATTTAACTAGAAAAGAACATTGAAAACAAATGCAGAATCATTGTTGATTACGGCTTGCCTTAAGACAACGACTACGGATTAGAAAAGTTCACACCTATCTCCACCCACAACCAAACAACTCAATACTGAATTCATCAGGATCTCCAAAGTCTCTGTGTTTGAAGGAATCCCCACTTTGAGAGATAACAACCATCTACATTGAAGTATTTGACCTTTTGCCACTGGTTGACATTCAGAATTTATTTTAGGTAAGAATACTTTCCTTAACAGATTCCGTAACTTGAAAAAGTTTTCAAAAGACATTTGAGCATTTAGATAATAAAAAGTTTATAAAGCATATGGCTCATATTAAGGGTATAATAAATGTCAGCCCCTCCCCTTTTTTTTCTTTTCTTTTACTTATTGTACTTATTCTAGCAAGTTCTATTTTTAATTACCTCAAAATTAATTGTTTATCAATTAGCTAGTTGCTAATAATTCCAAAACACTATTCTAGCTTTAGTTCTCCTAAGTTACAGGACTAGTCTTCCAAATCATCAATTACCTAGGGATGTCCTAGATTCAGAAAGAATCATGCCAACTCTTAGTCACTGGGATTCCTGTTTCATTCTATAAAGAATATCCATTAAGACCACCTCAAGGCAAGGTGTACTATTTTTTAAGTTTGTTGAAAAATTTCCTTGCTGGATTTATAGATGCCAACAATAAATGTCTTTTTCAAGACGATTTTGGCTTATTGGAAAATTACTGAGGCATTCTGTACACCAGGCATTGTTGAGGCCACAAGAACCAGACTCCCCCCAGTCACCTCATTAAAGAACCCTAAAATTGCTCTTATTATTCTCCAAACTTCCAGATAACCTAAATCCATCCAGGTCGACAATTCTGATTCTAATATTCTAAGATAATCTCTAGTCTCAGCCAATCCCCCAACTCTAAATTGTCTTCAGTTCTAGTGTATAGTCTTGTTAATGGACCTCCAGGTCACTCTGAGGGGCTAGACCCTGTAACAGGATGACTTTTTTGATAGATCATTAGAGAGTATGTGATCTATGGACCATTTGCATCAGAATCACCCAGGTCTTTATAGAAATAATTCAGAAGTTTCCTGGGTCCTTGCTCTTATATACTAATGCAGAATCTGAGTGGGAAAGGGAGCTTGGGAGGGATCTGCGTTGTTAACCAGCTCCACAAATAATTCTTAAAACATATTAATGTAAGAGGACCTCTCTCCTAAACCCCATGGATATTTGTCTTCAAGTAAAGGGAGAAGAGAAAAGATGAAAGAGGGGAGTATGCTATTTAAAATAAATGTCTGATGATGTCTTAGCACTGATCTTCAAATGGAATCCTCAATTAGCATAGTAGTCTGGACAGAAAATGGAAAGCTGAGAAATTATCTCCTCACAAAGGACAGAATTTCTTCTATGCTCTGTCTTAGCTGTGCTAAGTTACATTCTACTCTTCTTAGCCATCCCAATAACAAAGTAATTTTGAAAATAACTGTCTTTTGTTCCCAAGGACATGTTCCTTCTCTGACCTTGAGGTTGTTCTAGATAACTCTTCACAGTAACCAAGTATCTAAATGAAATGGGGTTATAACATCAACTAACTCAAGAAACCAGCCTTTGCAAAAGGTTTCAAGTTCTGTCTTTGTATTGTTTTGTTTCCATGCAACCATCAGAGAATGAAATTTAGCCAAGATAAGGGAAGACAAAATACTCCGATCTTACTTATTTTTCAGTAGTTCAAGAAACCAACTACAAAAAAAAAATGTTCCCACCTTACTCCTGCTACACTTTCTAAGAGAGTTATCTAAATGTGTTGCCTGTTAATTTATAAGTCCTCAGTTCTTTCAACCTGCATATCATAGTATCTAAATAACCAAAGGATGACAAAATGAATTGGAAACACTTAGAAATTCAAACTGTCAAGTATTTTGCCAAAATTTCATTTTAGGCAATCTAAGCTGGTGAAGAACATGGTTCTGAGGATTCTCCAGGAATAACTTACATAAAAGAAAAATAAAAGTTTGGTTAGAAGTTTTCATCACTACAGCCTTATAATATTAAATAGGAGGTTTGGGATCAAAGCTTATAGTGAAAATTATTTTGTAAAAATTATACCCCATTGTTTAAAAATATATGTACTTTAGAGAAATTCAAAAGAAATGCTTTCCTATTAATTACACATAGTGTTAGGTATTACTCTCCTCTCCTCTTTTTCTAGACAGAAAATGGAAAGCTGAGAATTTATTTCACATTTAATCAATATCAGGTTCTTTAAAAACACCGAATAATTCAAAACAAAAAAAGTGATCAATTAATATTTCTAGTACAGACCATACAAGAACATGTTCATTTGCTTCAATTCCAACTAAGAAGATGAAATAAATTGAACACAAAGATAAAAAATTCTAAGTCTCTTACCTTCATAACCTCTAGAGCATAGATGATCTGTGGTTCCATAGATCTTCCATCTGCTCCATAAACCAGATCCCTTGTAAAGCATAATATTCTTTTCTTGTCTATTGCCATAGTTGAAAAATAAATCTTCATCCTTGATCCCAAAAAGTGTGTCATTTTTGCACTCCCATTTCTGAAATTGGCTTTTCGAGTCACAGGCATATAGAGTGACAGGAACCCAATCGGTTTTGGATGGCACCCCCAAGCATAACTTAAAAGCAACACTCATAATCTGGGATTCGGATACCCATCGGAATTTCTGGGATTCAGCATTCGGGTTGCAAACCGCAGTTTGGACCGCACTGGGATTGATTGCTTCCACACAGCGCTTGTGATCCTCATTGTAGATTAAAAACTGCCTAGTGTCTGTCAAGAAGAAGAAGGAAAGCATTTGTGAGTGTGTCCACACAAAGAGGTCAATATTTTAGGTCCAAAGCTCCCAATAAAGATTCATGATGACCGGAAAAATCCTGAAGATCACCGTACCCTGAGCCAGCTCGTTTTCCCCCTGGGCTCCCTGGAAGCCAGAGGGAGGGATGAGACTGAAGGGTCCCCCAGAGTTAGCACCTGTAACTGGTGTCCTCAAGATGGCCTGATCATTATCAGGGGACTTAGGAAAAGGTTCTCCTTAAATGCTCAGGAACAGCAGTGGAGGGAATATGAAGGGCAGATAACAGAAAAAAAATACAATTTTGAGAAAAGAAAATGTGGATAATCAAATATAGATAAGCTTTAAAATTGATACATATATGTCCTAAAGCAGGATTTTGAAGTGTGATATATCCCAACCATTTTTGAAGTAGATAGATGAAACATATATAAATAGTATAAAATCAAATATATAATTTTCTTCTCCAGATTTTTGAAATATTTTTCTTGGTAGTCCAGGTCACGCTAACATAACAATTTTTTGTTTTATTTTGGTTTCATTATTATTTCTTCTCTCCCTATAACAGTTCACTAAAACATTTAGTTAGCATCTAGAGTGTCTATTGTTAACTCACATTTTAATGTCTATGCCTTTTTATAGCAAAAAGATATAAAAATATATTCAATTATTATTTGTGACATTTTCAATAAAAATTCGAGATAATATTTTACATCATTAAGTGTAACAATGTATTTTGTGCTGATAATTTGAAACTGATGATTTAAAGAAATGTGTATAGATAGCTTTTACTTATAGCACATAGCTGCTAGCTAGCAAAACAGGACTTCCTCTTGTTAAAAAAAGAAAAGAAAAAA